GGAACAATCTGTGGTGGACAGTGGTCGATCTCTGGGCACAATGCTACAGCCTGAGAGACAATAATCTTTAATTCACCTGCAGTTGGTGCATCACTTCAACCATCTTGGCGGCACGACTGCGAGGCAGAGCAGAACGGTGCTCCAAAATAACCTCCAGTTCGGCACGGGGTAGTGGATCGAAATGGAGCTCCACAAAACGGTTACGCAGCGCCCGCGAGAGAACCTTTCGACCCGCGTAAAGACCCGGCGGATTTTGGGTAGCAAAGACACGAAAGTGTGGATGGGCCTTCACAACTTCCTGTGTCTCCGTGATGAACAACTCTCGATTCTCATCCAAAACCTGAAGTTGAGCGAATAGAAAATATTGCATTAACTCATTAATTGTATTCACTAAAGACCGATAATGAATACAAACACATGAGTAAAGCTAGTGCAGAAATCTAGTAGTGGTTCAATTTCCTAAAGCAGATATTACGTCATCGACAGAAGTTTGTGCTACAAGACTAAAATGGCAAAATTACTCGAGTTTTACTTGAGATGAACGAAGATTTTGGGAATCGTGCACTAAACAAGAGGTGAAAACTTCACTACTGCTCCAACTCACCTTCTGGACTAGCAAAGCAGAGAACAATGTCTAAAGGATGACTTTTTAGACCTGAGAAGCAACTCACTCGATTTAGGGCCTCCAGAATTTCAGTAGGTGCGAGATTAAGTTCATCGAGGATAATCCAATAGCCCCGTCTCATAGCCTGCACAAAGATACCCTCCTGGAAGACCAGCGGGGTCGGTTCGGATCCATTACTAGTACATACAGAGGATGCTGATGCAGCAGTATAGGTGCCAAGGTAGGTCTGAAGATCAGTGTGCTCATGGTTGTTAATTCGATGACACACTTGACCCACCCGTGCGGCTAGATAGGTGATTAATGAAGTCTTCCCCACCGATGTCTCCCCTTGCAGCAGCAATGGCAGACTTCCGCTGTAATCGCAAAAGCTCATTTCTAATCAAATACACTTAGGCAGCATATTCACCAGCTTTTACCAAATTTACACTTACGCAGCTGACACAACCCTCGCAAGATCCCTAAGATTGCTACAAACAGTATCGGTGAGCACGTATGTGTTGAGCATCTCCTCATTCTTATGCAGTTTCGCAAGCGGTCCCTGGGGTATCCAGTAGCCCTCTATACATACAAAGCCCAAGTCACCGTCCTGTGTAGGCGGTGAAGGAAGGGGTGTGGAGAAAAGTTGACGGCAAAGGACCTCTTCATCCTTTTGGGATGACGTCGCATGAGGCAGCGCGGCGAGAAGGTGGGACTGAATCAAATGCTCCAGTGCTGTGCGACTGCTGCGACCAACTTGAGAGCCGAAACTGAAGAGGAAGCCCTTGAACAGAACAAATTATAAATTAATTAGACAATTGGGTTTAGTCTGTTTTCAGTTTAGACTGAAGTGCATTCACTCAACAAGGACGACAATAATCACGGTGAAATGAAATCCCATATAGCCAGTCAAATGTAGAATACGAGATTTACGGCTTGGATTACAAAATAAAAGTAGTCCCGTCATTTTGATCGGTATAAAGACGCTCAAATCAATACAATTATGGAGAGAAATTTGACAGCAATTACCAAAATTTCGACCGCACTGCTTGAATGTTGGGGGCTTAAAAGGCTTAATAACCATTTCACGATCATTCATCAGTATCAAATCGTTACGAAGCACTAGTCGTTCAATCGTAAGATGATCTAAAGCAGTCACGGATCGCCTAAACTGTAGGTGAGGATCAACGAAAACTTTACCACCCACCAGAATATAGAAGTAGTTGCTTTCCGATGTTTACAAACCAATAATAGTCATAAAACG